TAAGAAATTTTATGCATCACATGGATACGAAACATGACATGAATTGACTTAAAAAAGTTAATGATTGTTGCAAGATGTGTAAGTATACAAGGCATGAATTGATGTTTTTTTAAAAATGATTTCTACAAAGAAAATCTTGATTTTTTTTGGTAATTGTTCCTAAAGCAACGTATGTATAAAAGATATTCACAAGTTATCAAATTAATTTTGGTACATATAATAGATGATTATGCTTAAAAAATTACTAGCTTCTCTAAATGTTGAAGAATTAAGTGTTCGTACTGATAACATGTTATAAAAAAAGAAAGAATAAAAATCAGTAGACTTGTATGTGTTTTATTAAGGACTAAAACTTATATTTATAGGGAAAAATTAGGGATACGACGGTAATAATTTTTAGGGCTGCAGGGGTACAATAGTGATTCACTGATAAACTTAACATTTACAACAAAATAAACAGTTAGATCATCTGCTTGAATCCAATACTAAGAAATGTATATCAGCAGAATTCTATTCAAACAAATGTATATGCAAAAATAGTATATTATGTTGATAGTGATGCATATACAGCTTTATATTCTTCTATCTGATTTTCATTGGACAAGTTCTAGGGATAGTAATAACCTCCCTTGCAATGTAGATCATACGGTTCAAAAAGATGAAGAGATACTTATTGAAAATGTTAGTTGATTGATTCAGTAGATGAGATTAACTATGATGATTGATGCACCACATGAGGTTTTGTTTATAGTTCAACTACGTTGTTTTTGTTCTTTTATTGTTCAAATAATATGATCTAATGAATATAATAATCTATGCTCATTTAGGCTTGGCTCAATAGTATTGTAAGTCGTGTAAATGAAGAAAGGGCAAGCCACGTTGTGAGTGACAACTCAAGGATAATCAAAACTATACAAATAAATTGCTATTTTCAATTTATTTAATATGTTGCCTAGTTTATATGATGTCTAACTCTTTTCTAGATCAAACTCGGTGTCGAGAAGATCACCGAGTAATATGACAGGTGAAGTGCAACCACTGTAACCACCATTTGATTTCCAATTCACACAACACTTGGGATTGGTACAACGAGTGCTGTACAATTTACGAACTGTGGTCCTCCACTTAATGAACCAAGCAGTTCAAAAATGGGAAAAGCTCATTTGCATATGCAAATTAAATTATTCCACTTGAATCATTGATAAAAAACTTGCAAGATATAGAGAATCAAGAAAAAGCAATGAAGATGATAGCCATGACAAATAAAAAGTGAAAATGGTCTCCTCCCTATCGTAAATCAATAATTATCTTCTTTTGTCTTTCGTTTTTTGCCTATTCAATATTTTCAAGACAACTGAGTGCAAACTACACAATAATAGAGGATTAAAGTAAGTAGGCCTAACACTTGTACACACAGAAAATTATCGTATTAAAAAGTATGCATAGGCACGATGCATGGGCCAAATGCCACACTTTATTAGATTTTTAATTTTTTTTCCCTTTTTAAAAAAGCCTTTTATTTGAGTTAGTTTCAAATGTTTCCTTGAAAAATTGTATAATTAACTAATTACGGGAATTATTAAGTAAATATAATATATTTTATAATTTTAGATGTTTGATATGTATTATTTTAATTATTAAATAATTTTAGAATGATTAAGAATTTAAAATAATAAAAATAAATAACTTTTTTTCCCTCTTGCCTAAGCTCGTAAAACAAACCTGAAACTTGACCTCTACGCGTAACTACGATTTACACTTTTAGAATACTGCATAAATCTTTCTACACGTCAAGCAATCATAAACCAACTTCCAACATATGGAAATGGCACGACTTAAAGCATTATCACAACAATTATTAATTGTCCGATCACAATCGTTTTTTCTTTTCACTTCTCAATTTCCAACCTCGCAATCAATTGAAAACATGAAAAACATCAAAGTTCAAGGATTATCACAACTTTGATTAATCAAGACACAAAGTCTATTTCCCTTTTTATTCAAACAAATTGACTCCAAGTCTTCATCCTTAACATCAAAATTTAAGAAATTAGGAGATTCAAGACTACTTTATTCTTAACGAAACAAAGTAATCTTAAGTTTTTATTAGTAAATACTAAAATTGATATCCAAATATGAATAACAACCTACCAACTACACCCTCAAAAGATCAAGAAAAACCTAGAAACTACAATACAAAGCTTTCCTACGACTTTCGAACAGCAACAACAATCTAGCAACTACAACACAGAAATTTGTGACATAATCTTCACTGTGATCAGTGGCAAAATCCATTAAACGTAAAAAGGCCAATGACATTGCAAATCAGCAGGACCTCGAATCCCACATGATATACTGCCATCAATTTGCTCATTGCATATCATTGGACTTGCAATGCAGCCCATTCCTTATAGTCTTGTACAGTG